AGAAGAGGAGCGGGGTGGAGAGAGAAAGGGGAAGGGGAGAGGGGAGAGGGAGAGGGACAGGGAGGAGAGGGAGAGGGAGAGAGAGAGAGAGTTGGGGGGCAATCAACTGCTGCTCATTTTTTAAAAAGATTTATTTATAATGTATACAGCCTTTTGCCTGCATGTATTCCTGCACACCAGAAGAGGGCACCAGATCTCATCATAGATGTTTGTAAGCCACCACGTGGTTGCTGGGAATTGAACTCAGGACCTCTGGAAGAGCAGCCAGTGCTCTTAGTCTCTGAACCATCTCTCCAGCCCCCAACTGCTGCTCATTTAACCCACCAAGATTTGTGTCTTAATTAAAGTAAAAATAAGATCAGCAGAATAGCTCTTCATTCTATAGTTTAATACTGAAACGTGTTTGTATAACTTTTTTTCGATGGAGTTTTTTTTTTTTTTAAATAGATGCTACTTTTCAGGATGCCTTTTATTTTTCTCATTTTTAATTTTGTGTAGTTGTGTGTGTACATGCATGCACATGCACACATTTGGATATATCCACATGAGTGCAGGTACTCTCAGATGCCAGAATCCTGGAGCTGGAATTACAGATAGTTGTGAGCTCCCAGTAGTGAGTACTAGGACCTGAACTCAGGTCCTCAAGAAGAACAGCAAGTACTCTAAACTACAAAGACATCTCTTCAGTCCTTATTTTTAGAATGTATTTCTTTTCAAAATGGAGAAGATTCCACAGAGAAAATCATGCTTTATTCCGATTTCCTGACATCTCTTTCTTTCTTCCTTCCTTTCTTCCTTCCTTCCTTCCTTTCTTTCTTTCTTTCTTTCTTTCTTTCTTTCTTTCTTTCTTTCTTTCTTTCTTTCTTTCGAGACGGGGCTTCTTTGTATAACCCTGGATGTCCTGGAATTCGAGCTGTAAACCAGGCTGGCCTCGAACTCTTGGAGATCTACTTGCCTCTACCTCCAGAGTGCTGGGACTAAGGGCATGCATCACTACTTCCTGGTAGTTTTCATTTTTAAAGGTGAGGTTTCACAGTGTATCTCAGGCTGGACTACAACTTCCATGTAGTCCAGGCTGGCCTCAAATTTGGGGCAGTTTCCTACCTCATCCTTTTAAATGCTGGAATTGCAGATGTGAAGCTCTACATCCTCAGTTTGCTTTACAAAAGTTTTCACTTTGAAGCCGGGCGTTGGTGGCGCATGCCTTTAATCCCAGCACTCAGGAGGCAGAGGCAGGTGGATCTCTGTGAGTTCGAGGCCAGCCTGGTCTCCAGAGCGAGGGCCGGGATAGGCTCCAAAGCTACACAGAGAAACCCTGTCTCGAAAAACCAAAAAAGAAAAAAAAAGTTTTCACTTTGGCATTTCAAGATCCCATACATGAGGTCATGATGCATTCAGCCATCACATGGCCTCTTAGTTATGAGAGTCTCCATTTCCCTTGTCTTTGCTGACCTGGAAAATGACTGGTCAAGCATCTGTAGGATGCTCCTCTATCAGGATTCCTTTGCTATTTCCCTCACAATTAGAATGGGCTTGTGAGTTTAGGTAAGAAAGGAAAGTGCCATGTTTCTTGTATCCTTTCTAGGGAACATACCATCAACGTGATGTATCACTGTGGATGTTGACCTAGGTCACTGGCTGAGGTGGTGGTGTCAGGTTTCTCCAGTGGTGAGTTCCTTCTCCTTTCTGCTTGTTATGTGCAGCCTTCATTTAAGAAGTAGGGCAGGGTGTGATGGTAAATTCCTGTAACCCTAGTGCTAGAAAGGCTGAGGCAGGAAGATGGAGAGTTTGAAGCCAGTCAGGGCTAGTCAATGAGCCTCTGTTCAGAGAGACAGAGACAGAGACAGAGACATAGTTGAAGAGACACAGAGACACAGAGGGAGACACAAAAACAGAGACAGGCACATACACACACACACACACACACACACACACACACACACACACACACACACACACACACACACAGAGACACAGCGAGGGGGGAGGGGGAGGGAGAGGGAGAGAACCAGAAAAGGAGTAGGGTGTTATAATCTTTCTTGAAGTATCTGCACATATATTTGGGGTTTTCCCCGCATAGAAAGTTTGTCTCTTCTTCCTCACTTATTTAAGTATTCAATACTTTCTTCTATTACTTGGGAGGTAGAGGCAGGAGGATAAGAAGAATGAGCCTAGCCTCAGACTGAACTTCAGGAGACCTTGCCTCGAAGAAACAAAACAATAAAATAATAACTTCTTAGCCAGGCATTGGTGGCACACGCCTTTACTCCCAG